CTGACTTGGTTCACACATCCTGGCCTGAGCTCTGGAGACCACAAGGGAGAGGGCTGTTCTCAAATGCAGGATGGTGGTATTTACAAAACTTGGAACTGGGTAAGCAGGAATGTCCAGCTCAGTGTGGGGTGTGTCTCCTGTGCCTGGTTCTTAGCACACGTGGGAGCCTGGAGGATGATGGGGAGAAATTAGGCAGGGCTGTGAATGCCAGTCTAAGGAGCCTGCCTTGAATCCACAGGTATTCAGACAGAAAAAGCACTTAGTGAACTTCAGAGAGAAAATGTTTATTTATGCTCATGTTTTAGAGGTTTTTGTCCGAGATAACCATGGGTCTGGTGTTTTGGGCATGAAATGAGCAGAGCCTCATGGGAAGGGTGTGTCTCCTGTGCCTGGTTCTTAGCACACGTGGGAGCCTGGAGGATGACAGGGGGACATTAGGCAGGGCTGTGAATGCCAGTCTAAGGAGCCTGCCTTGAATCCACAGGTATTCAGACAGAAAAAGCACTTAGTGAACTTCAGAGAGAAAATGTTCTGCAGCAGCAGAACTCCTCACTGTATGGTATATTTACCCCTGATGGAGTTAGCATTCTCATGACCAAATCAGTTCAGTTGGTCCCAAACATTCTATATGAGCCCTGAAGGGACATTTTGAGATTCAAACCCCAACAAGTACCATGTAAGCCCTTCTGTTGGGTTGTTGTTCTAAGCTGGCACAGTCTCATTTGAATTCTTCTGAGATTCTCCTGCAGTCTGCAATTATCCATATTTTACACTGGAGGAACCTGTGTGCTGCGACATTGAGGATCTGGAGTTTGAGGCCAGCCAGGCACTATGACCCATTAACTTTCGGGTGTTTGGGAGACACAACGAGGAGAAAATTGGGCTTGGGAGCTGGTTAGTTAGGAGTCTATGGATGCCTTTGTGAGGTGACTTGAATGAGATGTCCCCCACAGTATTGGACATTTGAATACTCAGACCCAGTTGGTGGTTCTGTCTGAGTAAGTTTAAGAGGTGTGGCTTTGTTGGAAGAAGTAGGGTGGGCCTTAAAGTTTCAAAGCCTTATGCTATTCCCAGTTTCTTTTCTCTGCTTTATGCTTGCAGTTCAAGATACAAGCTCTTAGCTCTTGGCTTCCTGCTTTAGCCACGAGTCTGACCTGTTGCCATGCTGTCTCCATCATTATGGACCCTAACCCTCTGAAACTGTGGCCCAAATAAACTCTTCTTCTATGAGTTGCCTTGGTCACAAGAGTAGAAAAGTGGCTAAGACACATGACCAAGCCTAATGCAGGGCCCTGGCCATAGAGGTTGGAGGATCAGGAGGCTCTGTGGCTCGCACTTGAACTCTGGAGAAAGCACTCTCAGAATGGAAGCACTTGCATTCTCTGTGTTCTCAAACTTTCCACAGTGCACTCAGAGTGTGCCAGGCAGCAGGCACACCCACAGTCCAGAGAAGCTGGGGGGGCTACCCTTTGAATGCCCACTCCCATTTCCTCCCACACCCGGGACAGCAGGGACAGTAATGAATCAGAAGCCAAGATCCAGGAGCAATCTGGCCAGAAGAGGCTTAGTGTTGTATAATTTTATTTCCAAATTGCCAGTTTCTGAGATCGCTGTTTCTCTCTCAGCTGTCACCTGTCTCTCTTAGGTAGCCTTCATATACCCCCTCCTCCACTTTCCTTCCCTGTCTCCCTTCTTCCTACACCCAGCGTCTACTATATATCTGATATTCCTTGATAGCTTTACAAATATTGAGTCATTTAGTGCTGTTAATAAAAACCCAGAGTTGTATATTGCTGTGGGATAACTTCTGCGTATCCTATGAATATGTTTTATTACCATTGGTTAATAAAGAAGCTGATTTGGCCTATATATAGCAAGGCAGGATAGAGCCAGGTGGGAAACCCAAGCAGAGATACAGGAAGAAGAAGGGTGGAGTCAGGGGCAGATGTCAGCAAGCTGCCTGAGCAGCAAGATGTACTAGAGAACAGGTAACGCCACAAAGCCATGTGTCAAAATCTAGATTAATAGAAATGGGTTAATTTAAGTTGTAAGAGCTAGTTAGTAATAAACCTGAGCAATAGGCCAAATAGTTTGTAATTGATATTAAGCTTCTGAGTGATTGTTTTAAAAGTGGCTCCGGGACCAGGAGGGACAGATAAGCTTCCAGTTACAGTATGTCCTTCTGAAAAACAAATCTAGCTCCATCATTCCACACAGCTGCCTTGCTGCACTGTTCTAGCACAGTGACAGTGTGGTTAATGTGTCTGTGGAGGGCAGGGCAGAAGCATAGATGGATGACACTGATGCTGATTATAAATTGTTGATGTGATCCTTCTTAGGCTCATGCCGGTGAACGAGGATAGTCCCTGTAGGTGTCTGAGTCTGCCGGGGGTGTGTCTGATGTGCCCTTGTGAAGGAGGGACTCAGAAGGATAGGGATGAGCTATTTTGATTTGATTGTTTATTGTTCTATCTCAGTTCCACCTGAAGAATGGATTACTTGCTCAGTCTGTGGACTGACCACAGACTTGCTTTTGTTAGTAATGTATTTAAATGCTCACCTGCTTCTGGTGCTGTTCTTTGTGTCCTGCCATTTTCATGACGGTATGCTTGGATGAAACCGTAGGTCTTAGAGGAGGCTAGTGACACATGGAGGGAAGTCGGACTATCCCTTCTTGGTTAGTCAAGTCTTCAGATTCAGCAGTTAACCAGGTGTTTACTGTCACATGCTGCAAATTTGAGGATGTTTGTCATACAGCATTGCTGGGACACCATTAGCTGCTATAACCTGTCATGGCTGTGTGTCTTAGGTCCAGCCAGCTTCCTTAAAAGCTATCTAGGAGGAGGGCAGGACTTGAAGACATGAGAACCCCAGGTTAAGTCCGAGGAGACCTGTGAAAATTTCTTTTCCCTAATTTTTCTCTACTGTAATTGACTTGTTCTAACTTTTAGGGAATAAGGGAAGCCTGAGGGCCGTCTCTTAAACACAGGTGCACTGGGGAGCTGGGGGTCAGGGCCTCCCTGCTGCTGCTAGCCCAGCTAAGAATGAACCTCACCTCTTTGGAGGCACCTTGACAGCATATAACCACTAAATCCACTTGTGTGTACAGGAACTCCAGAGTTTGAAAACACTGGATCTCCGCTGCACTGACTCCATCTGACTCAGCAATACCCTCACCTAACAAGCCAGTGTGCTGGCTGCCCACCCTGGTGTTCCCATGACTGAGAAGGAGCTGCTGCCACCCAGTGTCACCAGAAGGGATTCCACTGTATCTGTCTAACCTGAGGAAAGATGGTAGTTCTGTCTACACCATGTGTCACCATCATATCCTCACACTAAGTAGAGCCCTTGTAAGCCTGGGGGGGGGTTTCTTGTGGTAAATGCGCACCACAGCCCCAACAAGGAAACACTGACAGATTATCAGCATCCCATTGCTTAAACATAAAAGCATTGCCAGTGACTCAGTGTCCATCCGTGACTAGAGAGACAGACATATAAACTAGGTGACAAGCTCCCATGGCTGAAAATAATGAGGGAGACCTTGGTGTTGCTGTTCTGGTTAAAACTCGAAGCTATAGTGTTAAATTCATATCCTTACAGATGCTGCAACTTTAGTGATAAAAAAGAAAAAAAATCAAATTTAATTAAACTCTGTGCAGTAATCTGAAGGTATCGCTTCATCAAAAAAATATTAGGGGGAAAGATGAGGGTGGGGGCTTGCAAATGAAAGCCATTTTTCTTTATAATGCTATAATGTTTTAGTTTACATGTTCTTTTTATTTTTAATGTTTTTAATTGAAACAGAATAACGTCACCTCCCCCTCACTTTTCTCTCTCCCACCCTGTCTCTCCCTACTATCAAGGGAACAGCCTTTTTTGCTTTATTATTGTTACCTAATATAAATATATTATATACACGTGTGTGTGTGTGTGTGTGTGTGTGTGTGTGTGTGTGTGTGTACACAAATAATCATAAATACAGCCTGCTGAGTCTGCTTTTGTTGGTAGTGTATATATAGTTTCGAGACTGACAAGTCTACATTAGATAACCAATAAGAAGGTTCATCCTTGGCAGAGGCTAACTCTTCTTTTCCCAGAAGCCTTTCATTTCCTATAATTCTTTGTCTAGGACTCTATGAAATTTGGCTATAGGTGGGACTCTGAAATTTTTCCCTTCCTGTGTTGATATGTCCATTGATATTGCTATTTTCCCATCTTGTTTACATAGCCATTTCTGTTTATAAGAGTCTGTCTCTGTCCTCTGACCTTAAAAATAAATTCAAATTATAAACAGAAAAAACATAGACTGTTGACAAGCAGGTCTGAGCTGTGGTCTCAGCTGTGCCATTCACTGGGTCATGTTTCCTCATCTGGCCCCATTTTGTGGGTGCTAACTGACTGCTCTCTCAAGGAGGGTGCACCGGGAGAGTAAGCCTGGGTGTGGGAAAGGGCTCCAAGATGCCAGCTGAAAAATGATGGTCAGGTTCATCTGGAAGCCACAGAATCCAGAAGGCAAGTCCTTTGGGGACACTGTTTCTCTGGGAATCATGCCAGGCTTATGGTACACAGGAGAGTTTTAGCAAAGCCCCAGGGAGTGAGGTCCTGGTGCAGCCAGACCAGCCTCTGAGGACAGTAGCATGGCAGGGTGTGAGAAGCCCACTGTGTCTCATGACCTTGAAATTTGGGACATCTTGCTGACACCTGCAATGACCTCTAAATAACAAATTACAAGTCCCTTAAGGCTGGTAATGGGGTGAAGGGAGCTCATTCCAGCCACCCAGCAAGCCACCAGTGAGGGCTGATAAATTTTACCAGAACACTTGAAATTCCGGTGGCAGATGTGTGTCTGCGGCGGTCAAGTCATTTCCTGCTTGAATGACCTAGAGCGAACTACCCAAGCATGTTAAGCTCCCGTTCCTTGTCTGTGCTGATGAGCTGTCTCCAATCCTGGTCTTGAGGACCAGAGCTGGCTGGGTGAGTGAAAATGGGCTTCTGGGTATTCTGAAAGGTTTGCATTGCTTACCTGCCCAGCTGAAGTGGCATTCTAATAGCACTGGTTCCGTTGAGTCAGGAGCATTACTCCTGAGAACGTCCCAGAGGCTGGGTCCACATCCTCCCACCTGGTGCACACACAGCGCCTGCCTCCTGGACTTGATGGCCCTGCTATTCCTTATTCTGTGTTCCTGCATGCCTAGTCCTTCCCTGGTTCCTTCGTCTCCCTGGAGGGCAGGGAGCACCTGCTCAAATGGATTCTCATCCTTTTGTCCCAGCGCATAGCCACAGGTCAACAGAGATTGGGTGTCACAGAATGTTACAGTTCATGCCGAGGGTGAGTCAGTCAAGTCCACAGCCCATGACCCTGAAACAGTGGCTCCTGGGAATCTGACCGTGGCTGTTTGTCTACTGCCCTGGTATTTACCACACTCTTGGTAAATGGAGGAGAGAGCAACTCTGTCAGGAGCTGACTGACACCAACTACAGGCTCACCTTCCTGGATTCACCATTGCAAGCCTTCTGCACAGCCTAGACCTTCTCTCCTGACTTATCAAATGTTGTTGGAGAGGAACGGTTTCTGTAGGCTTCGAGTTAACCATCTTCTCTCCAGATCTTTGAGAGTTCATCAAGGTGTGTCTTCGTGGTTTCTTCCGGGGGTGGGGCAAAGCTCAGAATTCTGACACCTCCAGCTTTCTGCCTCCCATCCCAGGGTCACTTCCCTGGCTGATGTCCAGTTACCCAAACATG